CGGTCAAATTGTTCAATATGCAGCATTTGCGGTGTGATTTTCTTTCACATGCGAGACCTGCAACCGTTGATAAGAATGTTAAATAAAAACCGTCATGTCACATAACAGTCATCGCCACCAGACAAAGAAGGCAATTCTATGCAGGATGACACTAAATCTGAAAGGTTGCACTAGTATGCGTTTCATTTCACTGAGCATTACGCCAGAACGGTTACCATATCTTGCATAGAAATCTGTTAGAGAACTGATTTATTCTACACGGTGTGTTGTGAGGTGTCCTATTTCCGTATTGCCGGTGTGGTAACGTGTGATAACACTCATTCGTGAAATGCATTTTTTCAGTGCTTAGGCAAACACATAGAGTTAAATGAGTATATGCATGTGGGTCACATAATAAAGGATCCCGTAAGCATCCAGTTATAAATGGGTTAACTTACCTTTATTTAACTGCCTTTAAGGCAGCTAAGGTAATTGCATTGTTCTTCTTAAAGAGATGCTTGCAACGCGCTACAGAAATGAGCGATAATTTGTAATACAGGGATACGCTTAGAATGGAAATTAACAGAAATAAAGTAAAGACGAAGATATAATTGTACAGGTGACATTTGATTCTGCTCATATGTGTCACACGGTATGCATATGACACTATATAATGCATAGGTTTGGCAACCATATCCACAGGGAGAATTTTTTCACTAGATATTCTGTAACTCGTGCCTTATAAATTTGTCTCTTTCTATGCTGACATAGTGTTTTCGATAGCTTATCAGTGAGTTTTTGCGTTGTTCTTGGTAAGGCATTTGGCTACGACCGCGTCATATACTTAAAAGCATTTTCTCTGTCTATTCGTCAGTTGTATGTATATGTCAAGTGAGAATTCTTCTACACGACGTCATCGCTCAGACTTGACGTCATCACTCAGACATGACGTCATATGACGTCGTAACTGGCTTCCAGTACAGAGGTTAAACTTTCTTCGACAAAAGGAAGAATGTCGTCATAAACGATGAAGAAGAGTAAAACGGAATAATTGCGTGGTAATTTTTAAATGCTTCGACATTATGACAAACTCATCAAAGATGTCGCTGCCAATATGACGCTCCACTTTGCTTTCACGGGTGTGCATGTGAACAATTATGTTTAGTTTTATCCTTTAATGGCCGAAATGTATATGTATTTTTAGCACTCATTACCTCTGCTCTGTTTTTTTTCTGGTTTTATGCGCAAGACTTACCGGATTATCTAGCTCGAGACTGAACAAGATTTTGAAAAGACTTGACAGGGTTAAGGTGGAGTTGAATTCTGAATCCCATAGGATTTCGTTATGGAGTGAATAATTAGATTTGTTAGACGAAAGATATTCAACCAATATACCCCTGAAACCGTTGTTCTACGTTGACACAATAGCACAACATTTGTTATTCCGTACCCTTTCCAATAACACGCAGTAAAACTGTCATATCCCAATCACCATTTTCTAATCGGTTTTCCCCTTATAATGTCGTTATACGGATTAAGCCGAAGGTGCGTTTTAGGTTTAAATATGTTATTATCTTTACCTATGAAGGTGGTGCATCGATAATGCATGCTTATACGCTATGTTATCAAACATCCAATATATTAGTGGACATACACATGCCGTGGGCTGAAAGACTGATGAACCATGAGTTTCCTTAATATTCAGATAATTTGATTTCGTACCTGAGGGTCAGGTTTCCTTAAGCATTTGATTTCCAATTTGCTACATAACGCATTTTAAGTTTGGCTTCAAATAATTCTTTCAGTTTCATTGTACATGAGTAACAAAATGGTGCAAGGTAGCATTAACTCTGCTGGCAGTCTGCACGTACTGGGGCGCCTGCAGTCTACGATAAATCTATCGCGTGCTTAAATTCCCTGTGATTGCAACGGTATAGGAACGCATTTTTTTATTTTATTTTAAAACAGGAGAGGAAATTTAAGTTGATGAAGATGCGAATGAAAAAGAGCTGATTTAATAATACATTTCCTACCAAAAGTTGGAACGTTTCGCTCCTTGCAGGTGTTTTATTTTTATGACCACTCACCGCGTCATCTGAGCGGTTCTATTGAAAACGGCTCATTTGTATCACCACGGCTGGAATGAGAGCCAGTGAACAACATTATGCTCAGTATACTGTGCAGAAAATCAAGGGGAAATAACGCACTGCAATTACCATCGGACAAGCATAGCAGGACATGGAATATTCGAAGACAACTCGTCGGTCTCTTTGGCACCAAAAGAGAGTCAAGCGCGAGGCAGTAATTTTAGCACTGAAAGCAATTTTTGCGTTGAGCAAATAAAGCTTTTCTTCAAAATATATTCGTCACCGTTACAGTTTATGAGGCATATACACGTACATGTATATATATACACGCATTTCAACCCTTTATATTGGGTTTTTGAAGGGTTGAGCTGCTGCGCTAGAAGCATGGAGAAAAAGTGAACAAAAAAGTATTATGATTGTAAGAAAAACAATAAACGCTTAATGATAATAGTAATAAAAAAAGTAATAATAACGACAATAATAATAATAATAATAATAATGACATCAAAGACCTAACTTTTTTATTTATTTCATTTACTGACAAACTGATATACAGAATGAAATAATGAGTTCCCTCGCCCAGTGATTCATTATCTGTCAGTATAACTACCTTTTCCAATACTAGCATGGAAAACGAAAGGAAAAGTTATGCTGGCATATTAATTCAAGCCAGGTATGAAGGGAAATGTAAATAATGTTTTAGGCATAGAAGAATAAAGTATTCGGTATTTTGCCCTGGTCATTGAAATGCATGTAAAGATACCTTTCACTGCAGTGTTCGCCTGGTGCGGTAATGACCCATTACTTCTCAAACTGACCCACTGACATTGAGTCATGATAGGTCAACAGCCCACAGACCTGATTCCGTCTAATAAACCCGTATTTCCTTTGATGACGAAAGATCAATATGTGATTGTCAAATTCGACTCCCCATTAAGCTGTGCATTGTATTTACAGTATTTACACCCCCGGCATGTTTCTCATCCTACACAGATGTTATATACTAGTATGCCATTCTAAGCTTTCGCCAACAGATGCTTTTTATTGACACATTTTTTATTTTGCTTTGAGACATCATCTGCCCATTAACCCATTAACACCCGAGGTCTCACGTCGCTCGCTGCAGATTGATCTATGATTCGATTCAATCCGCCAGCAGAATTCCATGAATGCTATCTTCTGCCGCACTGATTTGCTATCTAGATCAGCCTTTGACATCACATGTCTATTATACTCCATAACATGTACTGGTACTCTACGCTGACTTCACGCACTCTGAGTTGCGTAGAAAGCGTAAACGGATGACTGAATTTAGATCCACGAGGTCTTCAGCTCAAAAGCAATTATATAAAGTGATATCTCTGCAATAGCTTAATTTAGTCGAATGTGCATTATATAATGCCCATTGGTATTCGTTCTGGATCATTTTTCTGCATTTGTTGAACTTTCAAATGGTATAATTACTTTCCAAAATTTATCTTTGATTGTGTTTGTTGTGCTGACAATATCATCTAACGCAATAAGGGTTGCACAATCAAATGAACGTGGCATTTGCAGGATTGTTACTATCCAGATCAGCCTATGTCATCACGTCTTTATACTCCATAACATAGAGCGCATAAAGAACAGCGGATCTAACAGATCCGCGGATCAAATATGGTGACCCACTAGAGGTTTGCCACTTAATTCCCGATTAGACAATAAAAAGGGGGGGGGAGGGAGGGGTCAGGGTAGGAAAAGTGTTTGCCAAACCTCGGTATATTTGATTTTGAAACTATCATCGAATACTACTAATACTTCCACACTTAATAATAATAATAATAATAATAATAATAATAATAATAATTGTAGAGGAGATGCAGTCCCGCCCCTATGCATATTCGTTTAAATTACAGATTTCTTTTTATCTACCCTTTAAATGCAATCAATCTGTTTGCGTTTGTTGACCAAGATGGACTTTGAACTTCTTGAAAGCAGAACCCAATATGACTGCTGTCGGACATGTGACCCTGTGTTTCTTCGACCCAATTTAGCGATCGTGAAATAAAAAGATACAAAATCCACGCTGGTTGCGTTGGCAGGAATGCGTTGATAGACGTTTCAAGTAAACAGAGCAGACAGGGAGGAAGCAAGTGCCAACGTTTAAATTAGAATGTTTTCTTAACATGTCCATGCCACTTTCTTTAACCAGTTACGAAAAACCTGACTTTTTTACGTTTCATCTTCAGTAATTCCTTGTGTAACTTCGACTTCTTGGTTACTACGTGCATGATTTCCATAAACTTATCATTAATATTTATATGTATTAGTAGTTGATACTGTAATTAAAATCAGTTTTGACACACTCTGATTTGCATTTATGTACATTATTCTTAATATCATATAATTTATTCCACAGGTTGTCCTACTTTAGTAGAATATGCGGGTATTTGTGCTGTGTGTTGATATAAATATAATTTATGTCTGTATACTCATCCAGACGCTCGTCACATAAAAATCTTTGTTATCTTTGTAAGCGCGTTCAGACATAATCAGTTCGGTTTCGGTCTGAAACGAACCAGAAGAAAAATGCATTACTTGATCTCGATTTCTGGACAGTGTTAATACATGTCTACGACCAACTACAACTCTCCTTGGACTTCGCCTCACGCATGAAGCTATATCACTCTTTTTTTTTATTTATTTATTTTGTGTGTGTGTGTGTGTGTGTGTGTGTGTGTGTGTGTGTGTGGAAAACAAAAGACGTATTTGAACCACAGTGCAATCCTTTATCAATCAAACTCGTGGTAGAAAAGCTGTTGGTCTAATCTCTGCCCATTTATCTTGGCCTGGTTAAGTTGAAGTATCGGTGAGGTATGTTTTCACACATACAGTATTTGATAAACTTACCAGGACACGATCGATCGATGTGACCTAAATATATGCAGTGTACGGGGTACGTATACAACTGATATGTGCTGAACACTGGTACGTGAAAGTACTCCACGTCTTGCTTCCAGTCGTGAACCGTTTACGTCACTAAAGCCAGAAACAGGTTTAACAACAGCTTTTATATTATTTCATTTGTGCCTGCTGAATGGAAACGGATTCAAGTTAACTTGTGATCTTAACTCTAAATTTTGATGATCATTAGTGACTTATATTAAAATCTAAAGCATACTAACGTGCCACTATGTCTAGGATAGAAATCAATTAAATGTATATTCTTATATTTCCTAATTAGGTTACAATTTCTGTTATTAATATTATTACAGATAGCCTGTGTCGGTCTTCGTTCGGTTGCTTAATTGCTTAAATGCTATATACTAAAATGAACGACTCCTCGTTCCTTCTGGCTTTCAGCACATTCCAAGGGAAGACGTTTACATTTTCATTGAAAATATTTTCATTTTTCATGTGTATACTTTTTGTCTTCGAGCGGTATTTTTGGTCTACGTTGTACTTGGTTCCTGCGTGATGTAATGGAATCATAATTAAGTTCGCACATGCCTGTGTTAGAACACGCTGTATGTATCACGAATGGCCGACTTATTTGATCTAGTAACATCGAAAACCCGACAAACGCGACACTGTCATCATAATGAAATGAATTTAATTTCATTATATCTCATACTCTGACTGAAATGACAGTTTAAATTTAGATACATCACAGGCTGTGGTATATGCTTTGGGTAAAGCAATCAAGCAACTGTGTGAAGGCAGTATTTTAAGCTCCGATCACGGGGTCGTCCCCTTCTTCAGTGGACCGTGTGAACGTCACGTGACGCCAGTCTGTGTGTAACCTCTGGAAGACAATAGATTTTCAACAAGAACGTGCAGACACGCAGCAAGACTCTGGTTGTGCAAGCGCAGAGCGAGCCCCTTCAAGACTTAACGAATATCTCAATCCAAGGACGAGACAGTAAGAGGTATACGGATGCAGTTGCAGGTACGTCATCGGCTTTTAACCCGAGAGTCGACCTAAAACTTTTGAATTTTTTGAACTCGTAAGCCCTTATCATTATTAAAATCGTAGATGGCATTACACAGTTCCCGTCCAGGCATTGTTGTTCTTTGGACTTCCGGTAATCATGCTCACGGTTGAACCTGTTGTTTAATTGCCTCTTTCCTTTCCACTTTTGTCGGTTTAGGAGGCATAACGCATAGTAAAGATGTTTAAAATTAAGTGTATTTCATTTGCTTGGATTGTAAATCGTGCTTTTCCTTATTCTGGCCCCATAGGTAAAACAAATCGCATGGGGCTACACCTGCAAAATACCGACCTTCAAAGAAGCCGCATGGAAGGCGTTCGGTAACTGCTCAGAAACTGAAAGGGCTCTGCGCGATCACGTTTCCATTGAAATACCGATTTGCCCCTCGTGAACTCAAGGTCATGTCGGAAAAATGGCCCGGCACCCGCACTTCTTGTAAATATTCATTAAAAACTTGCCGTAGCCCGAAACTAATTGCGATGCGGCGCCCATGACTATTTCTAGAGGTAAAAAGAAGCTTATTATACAAAAAGGAGATGAATACAGCCCACTCTGCCTTCTCTGTTCCCCTTCACAGCCATCTAAATAGGGCACACGCGTTAGATTTGTTTTAAAACTTTGCCAAATAAATACTAGATACCAAAAGCCATGGGTGAATAACCGAAACGTTGGGGCCAACCTTATCATTCAGATGACGAACTCACCGGGCCATCCTCTAACCTTTCGAGACAGAAGATGTTGACAAAAGATAGCAAAAATGATAACTGGAACTTTGAGAGCCCTGCACGTTCGTGCGGGGTGAACTAGGCCTAAGGGACGTATTTTAATGTGCAGTGAAAAATTAGCAACACGCGTAACATGTTTTAACCCTATATAAAACAAAATCTTTGACAGACATCTGTTGCGGAGTGTGCAGGCTGCAGACCGACGTTGTTTTGATACGCGACGACTGCTGAATGTGATATGTACAGTCTTTACAACAGCGTGTAACGTTAACGTAAGTGAAACCTGGGGTTGATTGTGGGGGGAAAGCGCTCTGGTGAACATTAAGAGATCTTGGACCTTAAAGGCATGTTCAGGAATGCGACTTAACTTGCTGCATGTATGGTGTCCAGAAAACGAGTAGGTATACAAGATATGCCGTCACACATACACGTGAATAGAATGAACCTTGCTAGAAAGCGCTCGATGAATGTTTAAAAGGATGGGGGTCCAAAAAAGCATGCGCTGGAAAGCCAATTAAATCGCTATCGGTATAGGTGTACGCAGTACGCAGTCATCTGTTTAGAAATAAGAAGGTAGGAATTACATCACTTGACCGCACGCACACACACACGTACACACGCACACACACACGCACATAAATAACCTAAATTTGAGCTTCAAGTCAGCTTGGTTTTGATAGTCCAAAGACCATTATTGCTGCATAAGCAAAGCATAATAAAGCTGCAGTTGTTAGCTTACGACCATCCTGCGTATACAGGTAGATATTACTAACTGACGGTCAGACGGTCAAGCGGTCATCACCACTTTAAATTATAGCTGCCCGGCAAATTATCCCATACCCCGTCTGCGCTTATTTGTAGAATGGGTCTTCGTTTCGAAATATTGATATTATTTATATCGTCTGCAGCAGTCTGAATATTAGTCGTTATTTACCCACGCAGACGTTCAATTGCATGGAGGCAGTGCAGCAGTGCAGTCTATATGTAGCAGTGCAACTGACAAAGACGTGGCATGCGTGACCCTTACGTTAATATTTTACTATAATATGAAAACCAAGTGGCAGCGCTGTTATAAAACCCGGTTAAATGTTACCTCATCGCAGGCCCCTAGCCAGCAATTTCAAATGGGGGGTTCGTTTTCTGAAAAAGTGGACTTTTTACCATAAAACCTTCTTGTACCTAGATCAGATTTTATCCAGAGTGGACCTTTTCCCAGCAAAAAGTGCTGTTCTTTCGAAGCCCCCGAACACCCCCCCCCCCCCCCACCCCGGCTACGGGCCTGCATCGCATGCATTACATTTCGTCGAATTAATAGCTGAGCCCAGCAACGTTAAGCATGCTCACGTACGACCCTTACAGTAAAACATACGCAAGTCAATGCCCACCCTGCTTGTTAGACTAAACTCATTAAAAACCCGTTGTATCATCTAAAGGGCGCTGCATTTTTTTATCAACTGCAAATTCTGTTACACCCTCATTAGAGTCATCACAGCGTGTTTTTCCAAGGTAAACAGAGCAATGTTTATATTTCATTTTTATTACCAGGGACTCGGTGAAACGAACTCAACAACACCACAACAACACCACTATTGATCGGCCTTCAGCGCAGTCGAAGGGTGATTTGAACCCGACGCTCAACGCAGTGAGAGAGAAAAAATGGAACGCATGCCTGAGCGCCTGTACAAGACGCTGACGGTGACCCTGGTCTTACTAGAAGGTACCCTGTATTGCGGGAGCCTCCAGGGATGGCCGGCGCTGGTGTATATCTTCAAAGACTCCCACTTATACTCCCACCTCTGCTCCAACTCGACAGCGGCGGTCATCAGCAGGTACAACCGCTCGTACGGGGAAGACTTCGACGTCAGGATCTCCCACGAGTGTCCAGAGCAGGAGGAGATGCTAAACTTGGTCTTCACGGTGGCTATCTTCATGCAGGTGCTGATGCCGCTGCTGGGGTATATCTATGACCACTGTGGGACAGCGTGTGTTCGGGCCGTCAGTATGTAAGTGTATTGGTCCCCATGGTACATGTAGGTGTAGAATACATGGGTGTGCGAGATAGGAGGGAATCACACCACCACCACCACCACCCCCCCTCACACACAGACGCGCGTGTGCGTGCACACACACATACATTTTAAAACTGGCTATCAAACACGTACAACTGTAACTTGTAAGCGCAGGAAGCAATGTCGTCTGCAGGATTCTCCCCTCACTCATTTCTGTAGACATGTACTACCCTCCTCCCCCCCCCCCCCCTCCGTCACGTGCACACTCACGCACTAACACACAAACTCCCATGCGTCCGCGCTATGGCGGAGTCTACTGCGCTCTACCAGACATTTTACACCAGGTATGCACAGATATATCTCTGGCTAAGTCTGTGCACATACATCTGTGTTGTGAGACTTGTTACTCAGAAATCACCCTCTAACCCCATTGCCATCTGTTAGAGAGTAGAAGACTACCATACGCTGTAAAGCTTGCTAGCTGACCACAACTGTCACAGTGCAATAGCTGATCAATATAGCTTTCTATATTTTACCGCCGTTTGTAACATCGATTAAATGTCAAATGTCGCAGTCAGATGGGCGTTCTGGTTCGAAAGACTTTCTATGAGATAGATTTACATCATGTCGTGCATTAATAATTGTTTTCAACTGTTATCTAACCTATAATGATAAATTGAAACTAAAGATGTCTCCAATTATTTTGCCTCATGTCAGGTAAGGCTGTAGATTGGCATTAGGCATTCAAAGCACAAAGCATGGCATAGGCATAAAGGGACTATTCAACGCCTCCAATGATATGAAGACTACGTATATAATACCCAGTCACCGTAGTCCTAGTAACAGTGAAACAATTCCCAGAGAAGCCTTGAATTTTCCGTTAGACAATGTATAACATGTTGTTTTATTTTAATTTTTCAGCGCATTCAGCGCAGGTGGGCTCATCTTGATGGCGCTGTCTAGACCAGGTAAGATATACTGCCGCAGGTAATATATTCTACACACGTATACGGGTCATGTTGACATCACGTGGAACATGTTCAAGATACATTTACAGCTCAAATGTCGGCGCATTAAAAGCTGACAATGTTAGCACAACTAAAATAACGCAGCCCAAGGTAAAAGTGGCACGTCGTCGGAAGGCATGCATACGCATTCTTCTGCTGACAAGCTCACAATGAAGAATCAATATAGCAAAAACAAATTAAGTATTATCTTTTTAGTTTTTTTTAAAACTTTTTTCATACACTGTAACAACCATTGAAAAAAGAACATTTTCTAAAACGATTTTATAAGAGACAACACCTAATGGGCGCTTTAAATATCTCTTAAAAATCCTTAAAGGTAAAATGAGCGAATGGCTGGTGGACAATTCTACGCCTACATGTATTTCTCTGCCTGTTTCCATATCAGTGACATATCTTTCGTTCTTTCCACCTCCTTTCACTTAAAAGCTGTGCGTCTTCTCAGGCTTAGAATGGGTGCTCTTCCCGGGCGCCTCCTGCCACTTCGTTGGAGGTGCGATGTTACTGTCCACCGATATGACAATGCCTCTACTGTTTCCAACAAGAAAATCCACTCTGCGGTCCTTGCTGAACGGGGTGGCCAACATGAGTGCCTTCAGTCTTCTGCTGGTCAAAGTAATGGGATTGATACGATGAAGAACACTTGATCCTTTATATTTTTTATAGAGAATTAGAAACATAGAAAGGCTAATTCCCATAAAATAACAATAACAACAATAATAACAATTTTATTATTATTATTATTATTATTATTATGATTATTATTATGATTATTATTATTATTCTACGGTAATCATATAACGAGATTTTGTTTAGTTCTCATCAATGGCTTATTTAGATAGAGTTAAAAGACTATAAAAAATTCAAAGCACTAGAAAACAAAATATCCACATTACTGTTTCAGTTGGCCTATGACAATGGTATCGCGTATCGATGGTCACTCATATTTTTCGCCGCCTTAACTTGCCTGATTGCGGTTCCAACCACGCTAATTCTACCTCCACGTCACTACGTGCATTCCGGAAGTGACGTCACATTTGACGATAGTGACGTCAAACAAAACGGCGGTCACGACAAAAAAGACAGTGACAACAAATGGGATTTTTGCTTATCGTCAAGCAGTTTTTGCAGATGTCTGTCTACGGAAACGGTGGGGAGAGGAACAGAGAAAAAATTTGGAAAAGGAGAGGGAGATAGAAGTCGTGATCTTAAGGCAATTGAGGGTTTGTTGACAGAGAAACGGTCCAGTGAAAACACAAACGGGGGTCACACAGACTGGAAAGAAAAAGACATGGAAGAAAAAATGACATTTGTTGGGAACTCGAAAAGTAACAAAACTACTATGTCGTTTGTATCCATTTTAAAACAGCCAATGTTCTGGTGGAGTGAACTTTGGTTTGCTGGTAACTTACTTCTCGTCATGATGTACTTTGGGAGTTTTAACTCTGTCGTAGACTACAGATCGAACCAAAATATTGAACAGGGTAGGTGGTTTAAGCTGCAAAAGTTTTATCTCAGAAAATACCAAAGTTGTTTATCCTAAGTATTCTAAATTAAATTCGCACTACCTTCAATAGACAGCCATTATGAATGCATTAAAATAGATTATCTTAGTCTTAAGGCTCATTCCCAATGAAATTATAGTTCTACGTAGATCGTAGTTCCAACGCTGAATGAACTCTCGTTGAATGCAATAAGATTAACAGATTAACACGCCTCCTCTTGTTTCAAACGTACTGGTATAATTAAAAGCTTTTCTTTATTCTATTCAATACCAGGAAGAGGCGTTTTGATCTGTTAATCGGCTTGCATTCAGAGAGATACGGACTTGGATCGATCTACGGAGTTTTATAGGAATGAGCCCTAAATTTATTCGTTACTTGTATTCCAGTTAGTCTGTATACTAACGCGGTTGGCTACGTTCAAGTCGCCATCAGCATTCCGTCCGCCGCCCTGGTGGGTTACCTGGTGGACAGACAGCAGGAGGTGGGGGATGGTCGAGGTATTTTGATGTTCTATCCCTATCTGTCCCTCTTCACCCTTCTCCCTCTCTCTCTCTCTCTCCCTCTCTCTCTCTCTCTCAGACACACACACACACACACACACACACACACACATACACACACATCTTTCCACACACACGCAGGAACATACAGGGTCGCAAGCACACAGGCACACACACACACACACACACACACACGCAAATGGAGTATCGAAAGAAAACTTCTTGTAACGCTTTAATCGTTTAAGACCTGCTGTGTTTTGCCCTCTCTCTTCTTTTTTATTTCAATGTTCAGTGCGGGCGTGCTATTTGGGTTGCATTGCAATATTGCCTACATTTAACGTGCTTCTATAAGCCTAAGAGCAGTTGGAAAGAGACACCGGCTGTGTTCCCCGTTCTGTCTTCCAAAAGCGGGGATGACGTCACTAGTAGACACAGCATGGTAAAAAATAGTGTATCGTTACATAAGGGATTAAAACGCGCTTTTTCACCTGTGAGGCTTGATGATTCAATCCTTCACCAAAGGTTCTTGATTTTATAACCGAGTGGTCGCTATGCGGTCCGGAAATCTGTCAGACGTACTGCATGATGAATGCATTTCTGTTGTAGGCTGAAACGCTAAGCGTCATAGGTAGAGTAAGAGTGCATTCCCAGAGATTTAGATCGATCCAATTAGATCGACCTAACTCCCTGGGGGTTCACGCTAAATAGCTGTCAGCCAAGCGCGCACTAATAGTTAATTACCCCCTTATAGCTTTTAGTAGGCGGGCCAGACATTTAAGCTGGCTAAGCTGACAGTAATCTAGTGTGACTCCCCACGGGGATAGTTCGATCTAAAATCTGTGGGAATGGGGTCTAACGCGTTCAGTCTCTTTACAAAAGACTAAAGCCTTAATGCCTTATTACGTTACCATATTCACACAAGAGGCCATTAAAACAATACCTTACCATTAAAAACATATGAAAATGAACTGCACACTTTTCAGCGGACCCAAAGACGTTTGTGCCTTCGTTCTTAATCACCAGCGTCTCTGGACTGTTGGTGTGGATACTGTGTGCCATCCCGAACCTAGAGATCCAGTTTGCCGCCATGATGCTCCACTGTGTGTTGAGGTCGTCTGCTTTTGGGGTTTTCACAGCGTTCATCGCATACGCGTAAGTTGTTATATTCTTATTTGATACGTCACCTAGAAATATTTCAGTATTCATTTATCAATGAATTAACAAGGATGTAGACTGGGAAATGATACTGGAGGCAAGTATTGAAGACCAGCAATACAAGTAGAGTATGATTCTGATCTACATGAAGAAGGTGACTGGGAGAAAAGTGGGAAACTTCTGATGGACTTGAAGAAAAAAAAACTGCCAATTTATGTGGGAGAATAAATGATTCATCAGAAAAACACTGGCCCCTCCTCTCTTTGCAGTCTTCGGTGCTGATAAACTATTACACCCACGATATTGGTTATTTTTTTATCCATGCATACATCGAAAATGTATAGGCACATTATTCAAATCACTATTTTTACGTGCGGATTCTTTTTTAATAATAATATTTATAATATTTATACATTTGCAACTAAAAGTTGGAGGGATCATTTAAAACTCAAAAATGATAGACCCTAATTATCAGAAAGATATATTGGATATTCTTATTCTTATTATTATTATTATTATTATTTTGTTTGTTTGTTTTAGATTCCCTATCAAGCATTTTGGCAAGGCATACACAGTACAGCGTGCTCTAATGGCGCTGTTCTGTGGCCTCCAGTTTCCATTGTTTTACTGGTTGAAGAACGATTTAGAAAGTGACCCTCTTTATGTAAGTATATAAATAATGATAAGAGAAAATAAATACGTTACGTTGAACAGAATCCATGTAGTTATAATGCACAAAATAAAACATTTCTTATTCAAGAAATGAAATATATCCAAAGAAGCTTTTCAAACAAATTCCTTTTTGTATAGAAAACGGATACAGTTTTGAAGTTAAAATAGTTATCTGACAATTACGTCTTGTTGATCAATACCATGCCATTTCTCTTCACTAATAAGTTAAGGTTGACTCGGGAGTGGCCCCGTATCTCTACCATTTTACCAGGGTCAGAGGGAAATTTTTGACATTTTTTACCAATATTTCCCCTGCCATACACAAACTGCACACATTTTTGTCCAGCGTGACGTCATCACTTACCTGATCCCTGATAGACAGTATTCGTACGTGATCTCAGGGCATCTGGCATCCAATTTTTTTTTTTTTTTTTTTTGCTTTTTGGGGGGAGGGGGGTCGCGTATGTGTATACTACACGATGCAGTTCTTACAAAATTTGATAGATAAGGGCGTACTCTTCCACTTCTTTAAATATTCATAGACTTGCATTCTTAACATTATATTTGATCCGTTTTTCTCGTCTTTTTCAGTTCAGTTTGGTGATGATTGGTATATCCTGCCTCACGTTCAGTCTACCTGCCTATGTTGTTTGGAGAAAAAATAATGTTAATACGGAAATGGACAGCCATAGCCAAAAACTGAAGGCGATGGGTCTGGACGTTGTTAAATGAACGGACATGGTTGTCTTCAACAGAAATCGTTGACTTCTACCAGTAAGCCATGTGGACGGACTAGTATTTTGAATGAAATAAAAAATACGAAAAACGCATTATTTCATTCAATACCATAACGCTATTTACAACTAGTCACTGGCAGAAACTATTGTAGACTTTTGTTGGAAAAGGTGTAAACTAACTACATGTTATAAGACAAGACTTAAACTGAAACAATCCTTTTATTATATAGTTTCCAAATATATGAATAACACTTGATTTGTTTCATTATCGGTATGATTTTGCCACATTAGTGCAAAAGACTCCAAGAATTAAGAATTCTTTGTACATTTTCGGGTCGCCTCTTTTCTTTGCGGATTTCACAACACGCATTTATGACCATCTCTAGCCAAACATCCCCCGTGTACTAGTAAACTGTTACCATAATAAAGTTATTATGTATTATTATCATATGTTCCACTGTCCGTAAATTGATTGTTCCTGGTATCTTTATGACAAAGTGAACTATCGTGAATATGATTCTTTTTATATTTTTAATAACGTATCGTGCTGTACATGTATCTTAAAAAGAAACTAAGGGCATTTTATAGATTATCAGTTAATCAATACATTAGATAAATGCAATCTTACCATAAAACATTTTAATTAAAATCTCACGGAAATCAACCGTTATTTCAGCTCACGTAGATTTAAAACGAATCTCAGTTTTGGGATTCCGTATACAGCCGTAATTAATTGGTGGAACTTTTAGCCAATAATACTCTCAGGAACTTTCTCTGCTTCATCAGAGCCCACGCAGTGCAAGCAGGTAAACCGGTTGTTTGGATCCCACTTCTTCTTGATGGCTAGGAGTCTAAAATGAAGATCAAAATGGACAGGCTTGAATAAGGTTGAAGCTCTGTCTGTCCGGGGAATAATTTTACAATGCCTAACTTTAAAGGTACATACGAACCGAACATCGGTGGAGCGTGGATTCCCAGTAACACATGTAAACCACTTCTACATGTACTAGTTTCTTATACGACTCTAATAAATTCGACATGCCAAGGGATAAACTGAATAAATCACCCGATCAGCCATAAAAGAACTTTAGAGTGCTCCTTTCTTTAAATTTTTGGTTGTCAATTTAACCTACTTTCGTGACCTACTTTTATGCCCCATTGACATACAGCATAGAATGCTAGCAGAAAAATCTGTTCAAACATCACTTTCCGGTAAAATTAAACAATGCCTTTTGGTAATTCTCTTAGTTATACTACTTAAAACTATATGCTGGCATTTGTTTGGTTTTTATGACAAAAAATTGACTTTGTATGTATCTTTAAGCTTCAATCCATTTCCCTACCATCCTATTCCTACTACATGTATCTCTAGCCTCTATAATCTATCCCTAGTCTCCCTTGAGGTTCATGTCGTCATAGATAGATCGTTATATTTCCCTGTTTTCATTACCTTCCAACAAATATTTCAAATTGACTTACATTCAGTTTTCAATTAGTCGAGATGACTTTTTTTCTTTTTTTATATCTTTTTTATTTCATTTCATGTTTTAATCTAGGCCTATTTTTTTAAAAATTAACACAACCACAAGTCTTGGAGTCGTCTTATTATCAACCAGCTTTTTATTATTATTATTATTATTATTATTATTATTATTATTATTATTAACTAGCCCATACCTGGGATATTTGTCTCCCCAGTAATCCACCTTCCAGTTGGCCAGCACGGACGACGGTTCATTGTAGTAGACACCTGAAGGGGACCAAATGTTTGGATTTAAATAGAGGAAGGAAGGAACAAAGAAAGAAAGAAAAAAGAAAGAAAGAAGGAAAGAAAAAAGAAAGAAAAAGAAGGGGAGAATGAAACGGAGAAAAATAATTCAAAAAAGAAGAAAGAAGAAAGGAGGTTTACAACTGTACATGTAGGCGATGGTTCTAAAAAATGCTAATGTAGTTGAGTGCATGGACCGTAAATAAATAAATGAATATGCCACAGGCCCACTCCCAATCCAGACAGGTTCTAAATCCCACTATACAATCCAACTCATACTAGTACCTCCCATAACTTGAATTATGAAATCAAACTTGGAAACGGAGACATCTCTTTGGTCGTATCAGGAATATTGAGAACCCAGTCACTGTTTTTATATAGTTCACACAAATTTACCATATCATCTCTAACATATAACATACAACCCACTACATGCCTTGGCCGAGTTTTACGAGCTCCTGATTCCACTTCTGAAGCAGTGATATGATGATGTTGTCAAGGTAACTGAGACTGTTGGGCCAGGACACACCGCAGGAGAGAGCCATCAGACCGTTCCTTAGGCCAGGGCCAACTGAGGAAGAGTCGGCCGGAAACTCCGTCACCTTGCCTTATAATAATAATAATAATAATGATAATAATAATAAATAATGGGTGATAATATATTAATATCTAAGAACTCATTCAGCGGGGCGTGTTCTTGTCCACGGGCTTTGAAATGAAAGAACATCTACAAAAAAAACTCAAAGTGAAACTCGAAAATGAAAATATTGCTTTTGCATATATTATTTAAAAACTTACTTCTATTTCTTTTACGACTGGTCCTGGGTCAAACCATCTTTTTTCTTAGAACACTCACCGCCAATTAAAGTCCCAGTACAGGTAGGCACCAGCTTATTCAGGTACGCAGTGCCCATCCCCTCGGTCATAACCCGAGTGAAGTTATCATTGAAGCTGTCCACCTGCAATAGCGAGTCCCATAAATAGGTGCGCCCAAAGCCGCCGCGGTCGTGAATATTCTGCCTGTAATCCCACCATTTCTTGTACACATTTGGTTGACAGGTGCCCGGCCACTTGATGTGCCACTCCGGGTGGAAGTCCATCACCTTCTGGAGGTACGGCTTGGCCTTCTCCAGCCCGCCCCAGATTTCAAAGGCGACCATGATCATACCTGGGGAGGCAGAGGTGTTGTAGGTTGGATTGGCCTGTGCAGGAGCCGTGGACTAGGGCGGAAAATTTTAATTAGAATATCAATTTAAAACTTATCATTTCTTTTGTACTATATGGTGAATGATAACACAGATTGATTGCTGTGAAGGCAAAGATATGAGCAACGAGTTGTTCAGCTTGAAAAACGGACAGAGAACGGGCAGGCTGATACGGAGGCAGACAAGGCAAGTGGGGCAACATACAGACAGACAGAAAGGCAGACAAGCACACTGATAGATTAAAAGATATAAAATCTGCCTAATGAATCACTTAAAAATATAATTGGAGAGATGGATGGATCAGTCCACATGCGCATGTGAAAATAACTAAAATTAATGAATAACTGAATGAATGAATGAAGAATGAATTAACTTACAATGACGTAGCCTCCAAACTCCGGGGGAAGGGTCACAAGGAAGTCGTTAAGTGCGTTGTAAATGTCATAGGCATGAACATGAGTCTCGTTAGCATAGTACATGGCGCACCTGAAACGTTATATATTTTATTAGATCAAAAAATTTTATGCTTTCCCTTTTTTGGTTTAAAAAATCATAAAGCTATGTTATGGAGTACAATGGGCATAGTCCAGCAATTTGGTTAAAACATTTTTACGTATACCTACAAATGTTACTAGTTAAGCTTAAATAAATAAGAAGGCCTAAAAGTGACTACTTGTAATTGATCTGCAGTATGTAATTAAAAAATGTCATAAGAAAATGAGATAATGGTGCAATACATTAAACAAACTAACAGCGCTTATTGTACAGAAACGCGGTATTAAAATTGGCACTATTTCATTTTCAATTCCAAACGTTTTGTAAAATGTTTTTTCGCAATGTGGTTCAAATATAATCCACGTAATTTAATGACTTTCTAATTTAATTAATCCCACAGACAGACACACTTACGTGAACTGGACAAAACCATCACTCGGCGGCTCATGGACTTTATACTTGAACCGTGTCACCACTGCGAAGGTGCTGCCGCCTCCTCCACGAAGAGCCCAAAACAAGTCTGTATCCGCCGTCAGAGACACGACCCCATCGGCGTTCACTGAGGTGGTCCCCGAAGGGGTGAGATGGACGATGTCCCCATTGGCAGTGACGGCGTCTATCTCTAGCACGTTGTCGACGGCGAGGCCAAGTTTTCTGCTCAGGGGACTGTGGCCCCCGCCCATCGTGTAACCGGCCGGGGAGACGGTTTCTGAGCTGCCCCCTACAATCAGTTTGTTGTATTTGCCGGCAACCTTTAAAATTTCAGAGATAATTACACGTTTATTTATCTCGTCCAGCTAACGTATAAATACACATGCCTCCGTTGTACGCAATCAGTTTTTGTCTTGTACTACAATGAACATATATATTTTAGTTAAAAACTTCTCTCTCTCTCTCTCTCTCTCTCTCTCTCTCTTATATATATATATAAATTGGCCTTCTGTACAAGATGATATTTTTCACTTCCTTGTAGAATGTTCAAAAATTTCAAAAATATGAAAATTAATAAACTGTATAAAACTTAGTAGAGAAGAAAAAAGCACAGTATGATAAAAACAACATAAGCACAGTATAATAAAAAAATAATACTGACGATAGATAATGAGAGCAATGACGTATAAGATAAACGTCCTTGATGTGGTACATTTCAGTCAAAATAAAGATGTCTAAAACCCAACACAAAATAAAAGTACTGTACCAGCACAGTAGCTTAATTGAACACGTAACAACTCTATACGTAAAAAATTCTACAAAACATGAAACCTACCTCCGCATATATTTTGCCCCATAAGTTCCCAACCTCGGTGGTAGCTGACATGCCTGTATCACTGGAGTTGTCCGCCAGGTTGACATTCAAATATTGCATTTGGGACATGTTGATTTGGAGGCTCCCCTTGGCTGTATTTCTACCAATGAAATCGTGCCCTGATGTCACAATGGAGACCCGGATGTTGAACTCATTGGCCAATAGAATGCTGTTCTGGACATCCTTCGGGCTATTAGCATAAACAATCATTCCTAAAGAAAGATCATTATACTTACTGGACTAAATCTGCTTATTTATCAGCATTAATAACACAATTTCAATTATATTTATTGCAAATTATGACAAATCATTTGCTGTGTTATATGTTTTTCCTGCACATCACCAAGACAAAGCATTTCGTTTTATTTACACTGTTGCCCGGGGTACTGTATCACCACATTAACAGTCTTGAGAAGCAAGGGCCCAATATGGGGTTGGGGAATAAAAAACAAAACAAAACGTATATATGGGAAAAACAATATCAGCGACGTGACTTTTGAAAAAAAATCTTGCTGTTTTTTTTTCACTTATTCGCCAATTGTACAGATTAAAATAAAAGATAATGATGCACAAAAGTGCCTTGTTATCAGTTCTTTCATTTCTAAATTTATACAGATGAATGATGAATTCGGCAACCATTATTTTTGTACATTTCTCTTGATAAATACATGTATATGTTCACTTTTTTCTTCTCTACTAAGTTTTTTACAGTTTATTAATTTTCATATTTTTGAAATTTTGAACATTCTAAAAGGAAGTGAAAAATATCATCCTGTACAGAAGGCCAATTTCCTATGGGTTCCTACAGGAATTCTTATAGGAAATTATATTAAAAGCTATTAAAAGTTGATTGCCGCATTAAGTTAAGACGTCATAACACAATTAGGCCTACACATCTTCCAGCCCACTACAAACTAGCGATATCAAAACACTGGCTCAGCAACCACAATTTACAAATTGAAATGGGGAGACATACATCTCCTAAAACACCATTGGAAAAACTAAAATTCTTTGTCCACACTGCAAAAATGTAATTGAACACAAAAAGAAATTTCACCTGATCTGCACTCAACGTGAGCGTAAAANCTTTCTTTTCTGCCCCATTGACATACAGCATAGAATGCTAGCAGAAAAATCTGTTCAAACATCACTTTCTGGTAAAATTAAACAATGCCTTTTGGTAATTCTCTTAGTTATACTACTTAAAAGTATATGCTGGCATTTGTTTGGTTTTTATGACAAAAAATTGACTTTGTATGTATCTTTAAGCTTCAATCCATTTCCCTACCATCCTATTCCTCCTACATGTATCTCTAGCCTCTATAATCTAGCTATCCCTAGTCTCCCTTGAGGTTCATGTCGTCATAGATAGATCGTTATATTTCCCTGTTTTCATTACCTTCCAACAAATATTTCAAATTGACTTACATTCAGTTTTCAATTAGTCGAGATGACTTTTTTCTTTTTTTTTATATCTTTTTTTATTTCATTTCATTATTTAATCTAGGCCTATTTTTTAAAAATTAACACAACCACAAGTCTTGGAGTCGTCTTATTATCAACCAGCTTTTTATTATTATTATTTTTATTTTTATCATTATTATTATTATTATTATTATTATTATTATTATTATTATTATTAACTAGCCCATACCTGGGATATTTGTCTCCCCAGTAATCCACCTTCCAGTTGGCCAGCACGGACGACGGTTCATTGTAGTAGACACCTGAAGGGGACCAAATGTTTGGATTTAAATAGAGGAAGGAAGGAACAAAGAAAGAAAGAAAAAAGAAAGAAAGAAGGAACGAAAAAAGAAAGAAAAAGAAGGGGAGAATGAAATAGAGAAAAATAAATCAAAAAAGAAGAAAGAAGAAAGGAGGTTTACAACTGTACATGTAGGCGATGGATCTAAAAAATGCTAATGTAGTTGAGTGCATGGACCGTAAATAAATGAATGAATAGGTCACAGGCCCACTCCCAATCCAGACAGGTTCTAAATCCCACTATACAATCCAACTCATACTAGTACCTCCCATAACTTGAATTATGAAATCAAACTTGGAAACGGAGACATCTCTTTGGTCGTATCAGGAATATTGAGAACCCAGTCACTGTTTTTATATAGTTCACACAAATTTACCATATCATCTCTAACATATAACATACAACCCACTACATGCCTTGGCCGAGTTTTACGAGCTCCTGATTCCACTTCTGAAGCAGTGATATGATGATGTTGTCAAGGTAACTGAGACTGTTGGGCCAGGACACACCGCAGGAGAGAGCCATCAGGCCGTTCCTTAGGCCAGGGCCAACTGAGGAAGAGTCGGCCGGAAACTCCGTCACCTTGCCTTATAATAATAAAAATAATAATAATAATAAATAATGGGTGATAATATATTAATATCTAAGAACTCATTCAGCGGGCTTTGAAATGAAAGAACATCTACAAAAAAAAAACTCAAAGTGAAACTCGAAAATGAAAATATTGCTTTTGCATATATTATTTAAAAACTTACTTCTATTTCTTTTACGACTAGTCCTGGATCAAACCTTTTTTCTTAGAACACTCACCGCCAATTAAAGTCCCAGTACAGGTAGGCACCAGCTTATTCAGGTACGCAGTGCCCATCCCCTCGGTCATAACCCGAGTGAAGTTATCATTGAAGCTGTCCACCTGCAATAGCGAGTCCCATAAATAGGTGCGCCCAAAGCCGCCGCGGTCGTGAATATTCTGCCTGTAATCCCACCATTTCTTGTACACATTTGGTTGACAGGTGCCCGGCCACTTAATGTGCCACTCCGGGTGGAAGTCCATTACCTTCTGGAGGTACGGCTTGGCCTTCTCCAGCCCGCCCCAGATTTCAAAGGCGACCATGATCATACCTGGGGAAGCAGAGGTGTTGTAGGTTGGATTGGCCTGTGCAGGAGCCGTGGACTAGGGCGGAAAATTTTAATTAGAATGCCAATTAAAAACTTATCAGTTCTTTTGTAATATATGGTGAATGATAACACAGATTGATTGCTGTAAAGGCAAAGATATGAGCAACGAGTTGTTCAGCTTGAAAAACGGACAGAGAACGGGCAGGCAGATATGGAGGCAGACAAGGCAAGTGGAGCAACATACAGACAGACAGAAAGGCAGACAAGCACACTGATAGATTAAAAGATATATTTGCCTAATGAATCACTTAAAAATATAATTGGAGAGATGGATGGATTAGTCCACATGCGTATGTGAAAATAACTAAAATTAATGAATAACTGAATGAATGAATGAATGAATGAATGAATGAATGAATGAAGAATGAATTAACTTACAATGACGTAGCCTCCAAACTCCGGGGGAAGGGACACAAGGAAGTCGTTAAGTGCGTTGTAAATGTCATAGGCATGAACATGAGTCTCGTTAGCATAGTACATGGCGCACCTGAAACGTTATATATTTTATTAGATCAAAAAATTTTATGCTTTCCTTTTTTTGGTTTAAAAAATCATAAAGATATGTCATGGAGTACAATGGGCATAGTCCAGCAATTTGGTTAAAACATTTTTTGTAGAATGACCCGTAAATAAGTGTTTTGAAACAAACTGCATTTTGTTATTCAAATACTGATACGTATACCTACAAATGTTACTGGTTACGCTTAAATAAATAAGAAGGCTTAAAAGTGAATACTTGTAATTGATCTGCAGTATTGGATTAAAAAATGTCATAAGAAAATCAGATTATGGTACAATACATTAAACAAACTAACAGCGCTAATTGTACAGAAACGGTATTAAAATTGCTACTATTTCATTTTCAATTCCAAACGTTTTGTAAAATGTTTTTCTGCAATGTGCTTCAAATATAATCCACGTAATTTAATGAGTTTATAATTTAATTAATCCCACAGACAGACACACTTACGAGAACTGGACAAAACCATCACTCGGCGGCTCATGGACTTTATACTTGAACCGTGTCACCACTGCGAAGGTGCTGCCGCCTCCTCCACGAAGAGCCCAAAACAAGTCTGTATCCGCCGTCAGAGACACGACCCCATCGGCGTTCACTGAGGTGGTCCCCGAAGGGGTGAGATGGACGATGTCCCCATTGGCAGTGACGGCGTCTATCTCTAGCACGTTGTCGACGGCGAGGCCAAGTTTTCTGCTCAGGGGACTGTGGCCCCCGCCCATCGTGTAACCGGCCGGGGAGACGGTCTCTGAGCTGCCCCCTACAATCAGTTTGTTGTATTTGCCGGCAACCTTTAAAATTTCAGAGATAATTACTCGTTTATTTATCTCGTCCAGCTAACGTATAAATACACATGCCTCCGTTGTACGCAATCAGTTTTTGTCTTGCTCTACAATGAACATGTAGATTTTAGTTAAAAACTTCTCTCTCTCTCTCTCTCTCTCTCTCTCTCTTATATATATAAATTGGCCTTCTGTACAAGATGATATTTTTCACTTCCTTGTAGAATGTTCAAAATTTTAAAAAATATGAAAATTAATAAACTGTATAAAACTTAGTAGAGAAGAAAAAAGCACAGTATGATAAAAACAACATAAGCACAGTATAATAAAAAAATAATACTGACGATAGATAATGAGAGCAATGACGTATAAGATAAACGTCCTTGATGTGGTATATTTCAGTCAAAATAAAGATGTCTAAAACCCAACACAAAATAAAAGTACTGTACCAGCACAGTAGCTTAATTGAACACGTAACAACTCTAGGGCCTATACGTAAAAAATTCTACAAAACATGAAACCTACCTCCGCATATATTTTGCCCCATAAGTTCCCAACCTCGGTGGTAGCTGACATGCCTGTATCACTGGAGTTGTCCGCCAGGTCGACATTCAAATATTGCATTTGGGACATGTTGATTTGGAGGCTCCCTTTGGCTGTATTTCTACCAATGAAATCGTGCCCTGATGTCACAATGGAGACCCGGATGTTGAACTCATTGGCCAATAGAATGCTGTTCTGGACATCCTTCGGGCTATTAGCATAAACAATCATTCCTAAAGAAAGATCATTATACTTACTGGACTAAATCTGCTTATTTATCAGCATTAATAACACAATTTCAATTATATTTATCGCAAATTATGACAAATCATTTTCTGTGTTATATGTTTTTCCTGCACATCACCAAGACAAAGCATTTCGTTTTATTTACACTGTTGCTCAGGGTACTGTATAACCACATTAACAGTCTTGAGAAGCAGGGGCCCAATATGGGGTTGGGGAATAAAAAAAAAAACAAAACGTATATATGGGGAAAACAATATCAGCGACGTGACTTTTGAATAAAAATCTTGCTGTTTTTTTTTAACTTATTCGCCAATTATACAGATTAAAATAAAAGATAATGATGCACAAAAGTGCCTTGTTATCAGTTCTTTCATTTCTAAATTTATACAGATGAATGATGAATTCGGCAACCATTATTTTTGTACATTTCTCTTGATAAATATATGTTCTCTTTTTTCTTCTCTACTAAGTTTTTTACAGTTTATTAATTTTCATATTTTTGAAATTTTGAACATTCTAAAAGGAAGTGAAAAATATCATCCTGTACAGAAGGCCAATTTCCTATGGGTTCCTACAGGAATTCTTATAGGAAATTATATTAAAAGCTATTAAAAGTTGATTGCCGCATTAAGTTAAGACGTCATAACACAATTAGGAATACACATTATTTTATACCAGTATGATGCTCATCAAAAGATTGTTTTCTTCCAGCCCACTACAAAATAGCGATATCAAAACACTGGCTCAGCGACCACAATTTACAAATTGAAATGGGGAGACATACATCTCTTAAAACACCATTGGAAAAACTAAAACTCTTTGTCCACACTGCAAAAATGTAATTGAACACAAAAAGAAATTTCACCTGATCTGCACTAAACGTGAGCGTAAATNTCCAAGTTAGGTGACTTCGGATGCTCTTATTTTCATATGGTTTTGTGCTGAGATAACGTTTGGTTTCACCTTTGACGTTGTACAGCACGATGACGTCCACAGCTGTTCATACCTCGGCAGTTTAAATATCGAGTAGTCTTTACTCTTTCAAATGTCGACTGCAGACTTGCCCCGGGTACCGTATGAACACACGAACAGTCTTGAGAAGCAAGGGCCCAAGATAGAAAAGGAGGGGCATAAAAAGACAAAACGAGTGCCTAATAAAAAGAGTAGAGGCGTTGCAACTTTTGTAGAAAAAATCAAAAGTTTTCTCTCTGATAATCCCTCCAAAAAGATAGCACATTTCGATGAAATACAGAACATACGGAATTAGCTTTGGCTCAATTTAAGTTCAAGATCGTGGCACCAATATAAGGACTTTTAACTGAAGAGAAAGGAAATAGAATTGTCGAAGCAGGTGTAAACTTTCTGAAGTATACCGTGTTTTTATGCAAAAGGTAATTTGCTAAGTCCCACGAGAGCCCTCATTCGTTCTCGTCTCGTGGCATCCCGATTCAGGGGCCATGTCGTTGTCGTGACGTGCCTCATCCGGGACTCGAACCCGTGACTTTGCGATACCAAGGTTGATGACGCTTTGAATGTCTCATTTGCATCCATGCACGCTACCGACTGCTCCGTGACAGACCCGCCCACCCTCCGTACGTTCGAGATCCCTCTTATAGTAATCAATCGCAATTTTTATAAAAGTAATTCTGGCAAAAATTGACACAGTAGATACTGAGACTCGAACCAACGTCCGAGTGCCTGCCTGAATGCAAGACAGCAGAGTTACCACGTAGCCACGACAGCTTCGTTGACAACAGATGGTCAGATGAAAACTTTCAACCTCGTCACGGGGAGCGCCAGATTGGATTTACATGTGTAGACCTGCTGTCCCCATCGGTAATCCGGGTGCTGCATTTCAGCCCACGCAACCGCAGTCCCCGACATGAACGGTTATGATCATGATGTACACGAACTGGTGTTTGACAACCCGACTCGGAGCTCGGAGTTTGTTTTATACTAAGATTGATTTTGGCTTTACCCATGGTATTGAACACTACAATGGGATCAGAGGCGGTTCACAACGGACGTGCTGTTATACCGGATAAGCTACAGAATCAAAACAAGTTGGATCGTATTCATTGTCGACTGCGGACTTGCCCCGGGTACTGTATTAACATGTGAAGAATCTTGAGGAGCAAGGTCCTAAGAAAAGAAAGGTCATGAAAAGACAAAATGTTTGCCTGTTGAAAGCAACAGAGGCGACGCGACTTTTGTAAAAAAATAAAAAATGTTCTCTCTGATAATGCCACCGAGAAGATGTCACATTTGGATGAAATGCAGAACATACGGAGTTAGCTACAGCTTAATTGAAGTTCAAGATCTGTAGCACCAATATAAGGACTTTTCACTAAAGAGAAAGTAAATATTATTGACGACGCAGATTTCTGCTAATGATCAGCAATATGTTCGTTTTAAAACGATCACATAATGTAAATTTTCCAAAGTATACCGTATTTTTATGCAAAAAGTAATTTTGCTCTGACCCACGAGAGCCCCATTCGTTCTCGAGCCATCCCGATTCAGGGGCCCGGTCGTTGTCGTGATGAACTGGTGTGTTTGATCCGGGATTTGAACTCGTGACATTGCGTTACCATGGTTGATGACGCTTTGGGTGCTTCATTTGCATCTATGCACGTTACCGATTGCGCCGTGCCTGTCCTGCCCACCTTTGCGAGTTTCCTCTTACAGTAACCAAAAGCAATTTTCAAAAATTAATTCTGGCAAAAAAAGGCACTCGTTCTGCTGGGACTCGAATCAGCGTACGAGTGTCTACATGTAAGACCGGAAAGTTACCACGGAGCTACGACGGCTTCGTTGATACCATATGATCAGATGGAAACTTTCATCCTTGTCACTGCGAGGGCCAGATTGGATGTATATCTATATATCTGCTATCCCAATCGATAATCCGGGTGCCGCATTTCACCCCATGCAACCCCTGTCACCGGCCATGGTTTATCATGAGCGGTATCATGATGTATAGGAAGTCGTATTTGAGAACCCGAGACGGAGCTCGGATTTTTTTTTCTTTTTTACTGGGATAAATTTTGGCTCTACCCAAAATATTAAGGAGCACAATGGGATCAAAGGCGGTTCATAACAGGCGTGTTTTAGTTTGAGCGAGCCTTTAAAAAGAGAGTATTAAAAAAACATATAAATGTGTAATTAGCAAAAGCAGCGATGGAAATTTTGATTAAAATATGTTTGGCAAATAATTCTGCCGAGAATATATAGTTTTTCTGCTTCATCCTGGATTCGAACTCGTGACATTGTGTTACCAAGGTTGATGACGCTTTGGGTGCTTCATTTGCATCCATGCTACCAACTGTGCCGTGCCTGACCCACCCAGCCTCCGTCCGTGCAAATTTCCTCTTATAGTAATCAATCGCAATTGTCAAAAATCGATTCTGACCCAAAATTAAATAAATTAATAAATGAAAACTTCATTTTGTATCTAGACCCTCAACCCACGTGTAAGTGTTTTCCTGTTTCCACGACAACGGAGTTACCATGGAGCCGTAGAAGCTTCGTTGATTAATGTTTGATCAAACGGACAATTTCTACCTTATCACAGAGAGGGCCAGTTTCGATATACATGTTAATATTTGCTATGACAATCGATATCGGTAATATATGATAATTTGTAGAATACANAGGGGCCATGTCGTTGTCGTGACGTGCCTCATCCGAGACTCGAACCCGTGACTTTGCGTTACCAAGGTTGATGACGCTTTGGATGTCTCATTTGCATCCATGCACGCTACCGACTGCTCCGTGACAGACCCGCCCACCCTCCGTACGTTCGAGATCCCTCTTATAGTAATCAATCGCAATTTTTATAAAAGTAATTCTGGCAAAAAGAAATGACACAGTAGCTACTGGGACTCGAACCAACGTCCGAGTGTCTGCCTGAATGCAAGACAGCAGAGTTACCACGTAGCCACGACAGCTTCGTTGACAACAGATGGTCAGATGAAAACTTTCAACCTCGTCACGGGGAGCGCCAGATTGGATTTACATGTGTAGACCTGCTGTCCCCATCGGTAATCCGGGTGCTGCATTTCAGCCCACGCAACCGCAGTCCCCGACATGAACGGTAATGATCATGATGTACACGAACTGGTGTTTGACAACCCGACTCGGAGCTCGGAGTTTGTTTTATACTAAGATTGATTTTTTTTTCCTTTTTTACTGGGATAAATTTTGGCTTTACCCAAAATATTAAGGAGCACAATGTGATCAAAGGCGGTTCATAACAGGCGTGTTTTAGTTTGAGCGAGCCTCTAAAAAGAGAGTATTTAAAAAAAAACATATAAATGTGTAATTAGCAAAAGCAGCGATGGAAATTTTGATTAAAATATGTTTGGCAAATAATTCTGCCGAGAAGATATAGTTTTTCTGCTTCATCCTGGATTCGAACTCGTGACATTGTGTTACCAAGGTTGATGACGCTTTGGGTGCTTCATTTGCATCCATGCTACCAACTGTGCCGTGCCTGACCACCCAGCCTCCGTACGTGCAAATTTCCTCTTATAGTAATCAATCGCAATTTTCAAAAATCGATTCTGACCCAAAATAAAATAAATTAATAAATGAAAACTTCATTTTGTATCTAGATCCTCAACCCACGTGTAAGTGTTTTCCTGTTTCCACGACAGCGGAGTTACCATGGAGCCGTAGAAGCTTCGTTGATTAATGTTTGATCAAACGGACAATTTCTACCTTATCACAGAGAGGGCCAGTTTCGATATACATGTTAATATTTGCTATGACAATCGATATCGGTAAGATATGATAATTTGTAGAATATAGAATGCCAGTATTTGTGCGGATTGTAAAAAAAAATCAAAATACAATGACAGTGCTAGTTCACTTACCAGGGTTTGTGGTGTATCTCTCATTGTAGATCACTCCCTTGGTGGCGTTAACGAAGAATGCGTCGGTTGGAAGAACAAGCTTCCCTTTTAAAGTTCCTTTACAAAAAAATAATAATAATGATATAGTTTTAGACAAAAAAAATTTTTGCAACTTTATACAAATGAACTTAAAGCACTCAAAAGTGCAATGATGAGATATTTTAACTCTGATTTTCAATTTTTGCAGTACAATGACAATGATCACTACACAGAAAAAATAATTCTAAAAAGGTAGCGTCGGTATTTAGAATGGATGAATTCCTTCTAATAGATATTCGGCTTAACGAACAAGCATAACTATCATCCGTGTTATTGTGTATTTGTAGGCACCAGTTCGCCTGCTTTACCTTTGAATTGAGCCAGTCGATCTGATGATGGCCAGCAGTTTTGTTCTGGCATGCAGTACTTCGCGAAACAGCCCCCAATGAAAGCCAATCCCACGAGTAGGACAATTGCTGCCCGCATCTTTATGTGTGAAAAACAATACTGAAAACAATATCGAAAACAGATAATAAAAATTTGTGTATGGAAAACAATACTGACAATACTGAAAATTTTATATATTAAATAAAAAAGTGCCATGTAACAGTGCTACCTGTTTTAATATCAGCCTTTCAACGAAGTCCAGGTACAAACATCAGGATGCTGTTCTTATCAATTTGGCGGATATAAACAGTTATATAGCCCCTGAATCATGAATGCCAGTGCATTCTTCACACAAATCAGTAGACAAAAAAATTCACGAAAAATTTTAAAGCGCATATTTTTCTGTCTCGAAGGTGACTCCCCTTTTCTTTTTCATGTATTGACGGTATATTTATTTACTCTTCGCTCAAAAAACCAATTCTGCTTTAAAACCTGTTTTCCATAGATAAAAATGCACTTGGCCTCTTCGCAAATGTTATTGCAAAGATCCTCTTTGTGAAACACTGGATATACAGATATGCTTGTTACCTTTCTCGTTCACAAATCTACCCGACGACATGCAGATACAAACATGGATGACAGATTACAGTTCATACGTTATCATTGAACAAATATCGATTCCTTCCCCAGGTGATGGGTCGACTTGATGGTCGTACTCTCGGCGTTGTGACACCGGTGTAACGTGACAGAGAGTCCCCCATGATAGAGAGTCCGCTTCCCATTCATTTGTACAGGTAAGCCTCGCCCAAGATTTTGGCCCACTTAGGTCAGACTAATCTTAACCATTGTAACTATATGGAGGGGCAAATGGACTTTCTGGACCCTTAGTTTCGTTACAACGGGACACAGCTACCAACTCATAGCAGAAACCCATTTTCCTTTAAAAAAAACGGTGCCAACAAGTATGCAATATACGGAAAGGGCATAATTGTCCATAACACTTCCCTCACATCCTTATTTCTAACCTACCGGTAGGTGCCTATCTCAACTCTCCGCGTGTATTACGTTAAAGGGTAAAATGAGGTTTTAGTTTTTCTTAACAAAAAGAAAAGGCAGCGTGTTTTCTCTTCCTCTTCCATGCGTAGAATGTGATTAAAATGCCACTTAAAAGAACAAATAGAATAAACCCCAATTCTCCCATTTAAGTTCAAATAAAATAAAATAAAAATAGGAACTTTTCCCTGTGTATTTTTCTACTTTTAATGTGTATATTATCTAGCTACGAATATTATACATTACTTTTTAACAAACAGCACTTTTCAAAACAGTATGCTGAAACAGAAATACTTACACTTTTGGGGCACAGTCTATCTACGATGTGGTGATTTCAACATCAGAGACCTGTTTAAATACGATGGCAGAGGGTGATCACCCCTTGGATTCTAGATAAAAAAGTAAACACGGGCAAACAAATTAAGTCTACGCAGGATAAGAGGATAAAGTTTCCATATTTCGCAATAGGGCTCATTTCCAATGAAACTATCGATCTACTAGGTCGATTTAACTCCCCGGGGTCTCTTGATACAATAATTTTTTTTAACAGACTATTAGCGGACCCTGTGCTCATAGAGTAATTGAACGCCAGGAAGAGCTGGCGTGTTAATCTATTAACCTGATTGCATTCAGCGAGAATCCCCGTTGGATCGATCTACGCAGAGAGCTAGTTTTATTGAGGATGAACCCATATTGGAGGTGTTTCACAACATGCCGTCATTTGCCCACGGTCGAGGTGACCTTGATTCGTGTATTCTTGCACATTTATAGAAACATCTCTTGAGTTTGAGGGCAAAAAAAACGCTGTTTCAGCACTCCCCAGATCACTTCAGCGTTACTTATGCACTTACATACTGAAAGCCGCAAGCAGTGTGTGTGTGTGTGTGCGCGCGCGTGTGCGTGGGCACACACGCTCGCACGCGACGGTTTGGTGAAATGTTTTATCTTTACCTCAAAACCTTTGGAACTTATACATTTGGATTATGATTAAAATTGAACTGTTCATTTGAAATTAATGCTGGCGTGGTCCTTCAATTAATTAATTTGTAATACAAAAGGTAACATCAGCCATGCCTATACTAGAGGGACAAATTTAAACATGTTGACTGAAGTTGGTATTTACTACTGTAAATATCTATCGGTGACGAAGGTTGCCGGGTGTGATATATACACACAACCCCCCTTGTTCGAGTACAGATAGTGCCTTGTGTCGTTGTATCAGGGTACCAGTAGAGTGGCTCCAGCTGTTATCAAATAACAGATATAGAGAAAGTTCATGTTGCAATAACGACTGCAGTGTCAGACGTATTTTTTTCTTGAAATTTAGTTTGAATTGAAATTATTTGTTTGGTTGTTTGCTTGATTTAATAGTATCTTTAAGTATAAAGTGATATATGAAGCGAACGGGCAGAGAGGCGGAAGAGTATCGAGAGAGAGAGAGAGAGAGGGAGGGAGGGTACGGGTTCACGTTAACTGTATAACTCAAATAGCAGTTTATCATTTTGTGGCACTTATTCAAACTCCATGTTATTTCTAACCAACCAATTCATAAAAAAAAGCAACTGGGTTGAAGAAAATTTATTCATCATATTTGACTTAAATAAATACAAGTATATAACATCTCTTCAAATGTTGTGGTAGTGAGGTTTGACTTCATAACTTACTCTTATTATAATCATTATTATTATTATTATTATTATTAAAATTTCTAATCCAAATGATGTTCAGTAGACTTCACGACATGAATACAAAGCAAAAAGAGAAAGAAAACGATGGATTAAAATAAATTGATTTAAATTATGTAGAATTTAAAAAAGCAGTTATTTCATCCAGTCACTAAAAAAACTATTAAAAACTACCAGAGTTGTAAAATTCTAGATTTTATTTTATTTTCAAAAAGATTGGTGTTCAATTCATTTTAAAGTTTTCTGGAGAGGTTTTATTCCTTGGAAAAGTGAAAGGGAATGCCATTTATTTGGTGCAGCAACTTTAAAAGAGTTGCTCCTACAGGGCAGGCCGACATGTGATAAGATTTGGTCGTTGTTAAAAGCAAATGGTCAGAGAAGCATTGTATTTGTGTATGAAATCACCCATCTCTTCGATCGTCATGGCTTATATCAGTTAGTCCCATCTTATTTTCACATTACGGTACTGGTAATGGAATTTCGCACAAATACGGAAGGGGCGCATTACATGCTGTGTTTATCCAACCGCCTTGAACGGGCGAGTAAGCCAAACAGAGCGCGCTTGGCAAGGCTTCCGGCCTCCCTGCAACCCATGGTGGCGAGCCCATACCGGAATGTGGGAGAGGCGTACTCGTGGCCAGCCACTGCCAGTCGTGATTGTTCCCCGCAACGTCCTTCCCTCCGAGAAACATAAGCGGCCTATCTGGGGAAAATGGATATTGAATTAGTTTAAGAAACACCCTTGGATGAAAAAAAAGGACGTTTGGGTATGCATTGATTTTTTTTAGAATAAGTAATTTGAAAGGGAAAACTATATTGGTTTTCATTTATGTTATGTTGAGCCCACCACGTGCATAAAATGCTGTTAAGTTTATAAGAATAAAGTGATTTTTTCTTCAATCAACAGCTAAATAGGGCCTACTTGTTTGCATCCAATGTTTCAAGGTCTCATAACATAACATAGCTGATGAATTCTTCTCTGACTTATATATATATATATATATATATATATATATAATTAGTAATGGTTCAGGCAAACAGGTTTAAGATACTTCACAAATCCAACAGGCTATTTTGCAATTAGTTTCGTCAATGAAATCAGCATTCCGCACGACAATGGTATATTAGTTTCGGAAGAAGTATTTTCCATTTCTGTGAATTCACAAGAGCAGGCTACTATTATTGTAGTCACAGTATTCAATTAGATTTATTTTTTGTGTGTGGATATGATAAATAAAGAAGTCGTTTACTACATTAAATTCGTGCAAACACCAAACATATTGGTGAGCCAACAGATTTCATTTTTGTTTTCTGATTTTTTGTGAATTTTGTTTTTTGATTTAAATATTTATTTGATGAATGCTATTCATCATCCATTTCAACAGGTGAAAGTATCAAATATTAGTTGTGGTTTTAGACAAAGTCGAACATCTTTGCTTAAAAGTCATAAGACCCCCTCTCCCCCTTAACCCATCCTCCCCTCAGCATGCAGACTGGAACTTATCAAAGAACCACTTTTCCTTAACATGGCACCTACTTCTCAATTGAGGTTCAACCCACTCCCATTCTCGCATGGTCTCAAATCCCGCGAGATCTGACCGCCACGTTTGACCACTCGGTCTTAGGAAGTCGCAGTAAAAACGCCCATCGTCAAACGTCGCAGTGGCTGCAGAAAATATGTAGCAGGAACAATCTTGGAAGTTGTAAATGCAGTCAGAGGGAAACTGTTGACTTGTCAGCACTGCAAAGTGAAAACAATCTACCTTGTTTACCTGTGATAAAGGAAAAGTAATTATTTTGAAGACAATATAGGCGTATCGGCTCTTGGATTTAAGTGCAACGATTTTTGTCTTGGGGGAAGTGGGACGTGCAGACCAATGAAATACAAACAATGTGCAGTTTTAAAGTTTTTCAGCTGATCAAATGATGAATTTGGTTTAATCCTCGGCATAAGAGTTTATTTGAGTTGCATATGAAACTATTAGCAGTGTTGTTTATGCATTAGAGGGAATCCATGATAGCTCCATATGTAATTCTATAACTTTCGTATTATTTGGCAAATTACACTGTCACCAACATAATCTAGGCGAGTTCCCGTACATGTATTCCATGTATCTTCACCCTAGGGTTAAAACACATTGAAGTGAAAATTCGCTTTTGATCTACAGACTTGACATTTAATATAGAATTTTTTTTCCAAATCATTTTTTATTAGTTTTTTTCCTATTTTGCTGACTGATAATTGAAAATAAGGATTAAAATCGTGTTTAAATAAGTTTAAATTATCTCTTTGTTGTCATGGTGACATCAGTTCATTGATTGGATTCGACAGTGAAGCAAACAGAAATACATTGCTTATTCAATGGCATACGACGACCATTAAAAGAGATATTTTGGATCTCCATATTTTCCAAATTATTTTCTGTAAAAGAGTTACACGCATCACAAAGAACCTCCATGTCAGTGTCTATTCACAGCAACGGTCACTGTTACGCTTGACATCTTCTGGCTGCTACCAGCGCTCTCAAGCAGCAAGGCATTCCTTGGGATAGGTTTTAAGAGTTCAATCTGGAATAACATTCCAGGTATCGGTCAAAACTTGTCAAATTTGGTTCAGTTGTGTTGTAGAACATGTAGGCCATTGATTCGGCGAGTAATGGCCTACCCACATATTGTCTATGAGGTTCAAATGTGGCGATTTTAATGACCAGGGTAGCTGCTCATTCCCTTGGTTCTGTAAGTTATCTGCTATTAAAAGTGCTCTGTGTTAACCGGCAATCTCACCGTGCAACCTAAAATTGTTCCTAAGGTGCCCCCTATCAAATGATAGTCAAGTGGTTCCCAGATTATTCCTTTATTTGATATGAATCAAGTTTTCGTCGATGACTACCATTGGTGTGTTGGCACCAATGTGGTATCCACTCCAAATACTGACGCTGTCAAAGACCCGTGTCACTTTAGACGCGGTACATGCTTCGTCGTAGGCCTCTTCTGGATGTCTGTAGACTCTGGTTTGACTAGTTGGGCGGTACAGGTGAAATCTGACCTCAATAAAGAAAGCCACGCGGTTTCATAGTTCTACCCAGAAGCGGTCATGGCCCCCAATTCATTAGAGAAACAGACGACGATGTTTTGCTGCATACAGTGAGCACCTCGGAGGGGGTCTGGTATTCTAACCTACTTAAACCAGTTTGGTGGTCGCTAAGGGCCTTGAAAAACGCATTTTGGTGGCAATTTACCCCTCGTTCTGAACGGACTGGTAGGTTTTTGTTTAGTTGCAGCAGCGTATCCCGAAAGACAGTGGTTCCTGTACCCTGGAGGTAAGATTTCGATACATCGGGTGTGACCTCTGTGTAGGTACATCAGTCTGGGCATCACTCTATAAAACTGTGCGGACCGTTCCGTTTGGCACTATAATCTGTCTGGTAATGTCTGTCTTTTTTTCCGCCATTCTGCCACAGATTAACAAATTTGTATAGCACTACTAAGGGTGCATTCCCAGAGATTTAGATTTAGATCGACCTAACTCCCTGGGGGTTCACGCTAAATTGCACTCAGCCGAGCGAGCACCATAGATAATTACCCCCTTGCAGCTTTTAGTAGGCGGGGCAGACGCTTAATCCGGCTAAGCTGACATTAATCTAGTGAGACTCCACACAGGGATAGATCGATCTAAAATGTATGGGAATGGGGTCTTAGTTCATTTAACGCACTGCACAACTGACCGCTTGCATGCAAAATTTCAAATTCTTCTATGCAGTATTTACCGACATATGGATACTTTTTTGACATAACCAAGCTTTGCCCTTAGCCAAGCTTTGACCAGCCCAAAGGAACACTTCCCAATTAAATCACTGCATATTACATAATGTAGCAGCGCAATAGACATGGAAGTCAGCTAATTGGTAGCGACACACCTGACTACACACTTCTCCATTCATAATTATACGAGAACGGAGTTTTTTGAAAAAAAGAACGCATTTTACCTAGGCATACTTTCGAAACTGAAATATTCCATATTAAATGTCAAGTCTGTAGTAACACCTACAGTACATCACGCTCTTACCAAAATCAGTATCCCGACACTTGCTGTTGTCATGTCGTATCTGAAGTGCACATACATCAAACGCAATGTAATAAAATATCTGACACAATGTTGTAGCACGTTGGGTTTAATGCTCGATTACTATTAATGCGTTGTCTAGCTTATTACATCATTTATAACATTGGCAAAACACGAAGTATAGACAATTCACATGTACAATTTACGAGAGAATGTGGACATAGTAATAATGCCCTTTCTTTGTAGGTAATATAAGTACGTATATAACAAAAAAAATGACGCCATAACATTAGACGAACTTCAAGTGCTTCATTTTTTCTGAATCGTGAAAACTTTTAAGAAAATTTTGAAAAAACAAATCACAATTTTGAGTTGCTGTATACATACCCTTTCGTAATAGACATAACCAGTCCGGTTCACAACGCCGCCGTCCGGTTTTCGAGCAGACAGGCGCGTCACCTCGCAAGTTGAGAACTCGCCATCTTGGACCCCATACTCGTAATTAACCGAGAAACAACAATCATCCTTCGCACACAGACCAAGACAGGCATACTTCCCCCTCACCAAGAACTTCCGGCTCATGCAGTAGGTGGAGTAACTGCTGTCCAGCCCCCCGGGTTGACTGAAGTACCCGGATGTGAATTTCTCCTCGGCGTTGACAAAAGTGCCCGTGATGGTTGCTACGAACAGCAGGATTACTACCGCTGCAGGGCTGGATGCCATGCTTAGAATCTGTATATATTATTTTTATATATAAGAAAATCACTGGAAAGATTGCTTAAACGGTCTATGTTGTGAAATGAGTGGTTTGCTAACTTTCAATTTGAATCGCGTTAACTATAAACACTATGAACAATGATGTTTATACATGTAGTGCTCCTGCGGTTTCCTTGCGCAGAATTCCTTAAAATGACGAACTAAATTGTTTTATGCCTGATTTAAACATAGCCTTAAAAAGAAGTGTCATAGATGATATAGGAGCTTTAATCTTTTTTGATTTGTCAATTTTGATGCCATTCGCTGTCACTGGAAAGAACCATTCGGTCTTTCACCATGAAAACGATTGACATTCACGCAGTAAATAGCACTCAATTTGTTCGATCCCGAATAATCACCACCCGTACAAGAATGAAGTGTCAAACTGGTAAGCAAATACGTTCGTCGATGCCATAAAGTCCTAAAGAATATTTCTAACGCGTCGGCCTTGGTAGTTTTACTTCGTGTTAAAGCACTTCTGGCCTAGCTGGGTCCGTTTGCGTCATCCATACAGTTGATTGCCATCCAGTTGATTCTGCAAATCTTATATTCAGAACGTGGAAATGTATTTGTAAGGGTAGTTCCTAAGAGCAAAGGCGTCTATACGGTCATATCCCAATCGTTTTCATCGTTTCCAGTCTGCGGGAAAATTTACAAAAGGTAATCTCCAGTTGAATTCGGCGTTGTGCCTTGCGTTTCAACGCCTGTTAATGAAGCGAAATCTAAAATTTAAAAAGTACCCATCTCTATTCGTACGGGTGCTTGGTATAAAAGACGCCAAACCACCCTCTCCAGACTGCACAGCGGTATCTAGACAGATTTTACTCCGGTTATGCGTTTTCTGGACAATAAGCCCATCCACAGCGTTTCATCTTTTCACGTCAAAATTACCCACGGCCAAATGTTTTATGTTTACGCGTTGGTGGCGCGTCTTATCTCAGTGTGCAGTCGTCTCAGTGAAATCACAAAACGAATTAACCCTGAGAACCAGAGTGCATTCAACGAAGTAACTCTATACTAGGAAACTAGGGTCGTGACCATGTTCGCTCGTGGGACCCAGGTTGCAAAGGATTGACGACTCGCCAAAAACGCAATATAATCGTTATTTTAAGTGCGGTTGAGTGTCTTTGAGATGCCGGAGAGCGATTCTTGACAAAGCCGATCTAACACGCTCTATAATGTTCGAGTTGCGTGGTAGAAAATTGAGAGCCTTCCAGTCGGAGAGAAATCGCACGCTGGAACCGCAATCGATGTTGTGTCATCTGAACAAATGTTCAAATCACTGACAAATACTAGGCTGACATTTTTGTAAAACGAGACTTTACCGACAATCATTTCTCAATAATAAGTACAGATCTACTTTCTCGTCTAATTACCACCTAAAATAATTAATACCCCCCTCCCAAACACAGATTCTTTTTTAACGAAAAACCAAAGATACACAATATTCTCTCCATTATAGTACATATTTTTATTCTCTCTTGGTAACATTTTCGAATAATATTGTTAATTGCATATATCTTGATATTTCAACAAGAAAACCCTCTGCCGTACAATTCATATGGTTAGCAGTTGCTTTTGCATGTCTCCATGTCTATTACAACACTGGTATAAGGCAATGCATTGGCCATAGCTGTTTTATTGGCCACAGATGTCCGTTTTATAGCATTAAACGTCCAATCTCTCCAGTGTCACTTAACCCCGACAGAAAATCAATATCCATCTCAACAAATCACCGCAAAAGTCCGTATTATTATTATCCTGGCCTTGCTCCTGTAACTCCAATGCTTTCAACTGGTATTACAATTAACGTGAACATCTATGGCGATCCAGGAAAGAGTTAGAGGGGAGGGGGCACAGCGGCCCCCCCCCCCCCCAAAAAAAAAAAAAAAGGATATTTCCATCTCTATTTTCTACAACGTCGCATGTCTTATAAATTTGTAGGAAACATCAGTTGTTTTTAAGTATGCAAGGACGCCAGCAAAACGTGATCAAGTATCATTAATACTCGTTGTTTTCGTTGATTCTTCCTACTGAATCTCGCAGGAGGTTGTCCTCCTTTAGTATTTACCATCCATAAACTATCAAAATTGTTTGTCGCTTCTTCCTTGAATTTTTAAACCAATTTTTTGAGGCGTCAATCATTGTATATATCTATATACATAACTCATTTGTTAATTACTTTGACACTGGTTTTTATGACTTCTTTCCACGACCTTTGCCCTTTCCTTGACCTTTGCCCTCTCCCTTTCCTTTGCCTTTAGCCGCAGGTGGCTTTTTAACCTGAAATAATGATTGCATATTTGTATCAAAACAATTCTACAATATACAAATCTATGGATTGATTTTTCAAATCTAGGTTCCTAGAGAAAGATAACACATGAAAAATTTTATGTTTTTTGTAATTGTTATCTATGAGAGTGTGAAAGAAGGTTATTTAGTTTGTGTTTTTATTTTTGTTTAGGAAAAAAATATTTAAATTAAAAAAAGAAAAGCGAACAAAACAAGCACACAATTGGGCAAAACTGTAAGTAAAGAAATCACCCCCATTTCTCCAATTGCCCTATAACACATAAATTGATCACCGTAAATAGACAACAAGGCCAGCAAATAAAAACCATACCTTAATCATTGCATCAGCAGTCACTTCCTCCTCCTCTTCCTCATCCTCTCCTCCTCCTCCACCTCCGATCTCTCCATCTTCCTCCTCCCCCAGCCCGGGGTAATCCTCCGCACTGCTCACACTCTTCTTGCCCTTCTTCCCCATGTTAGACACAGCGTAGGGCGTCATGTGGGCTTCCTTATTGTAGGCTCGGGTGAAGGCAGACTTCACCTGGGTTATTGATTGAAAAAATATAATAATTGAAAGTATTGTTTATGATTATTCTATAAAGGAAATAATATGAGCAACAGAGAGAGCAAGTCTGCGCAGTCAAATTAACACAGGAAGACAAACCATTTGAGTAGCATGTGTGCCCTTTGGGCTTTACGGTACAGTGTACCAGTTTAATCCAATACTGTAATGAGGTACCATCTACGCCTGAGGCTCATCTTACAAATGACTTTGAGGCAAATTTCACATACCTGGAGTCAAAGGCATATCAATCAACTAACACAGCACTGCTGCATTACACATGCAAATATTTATCGTTCTTGGTACTAGTATAAATAACTACAGTCTGGCAGTCCCAGGATAGTATCCTTGAAGGGACAAATGGGCAATGGTGTCCTCCCATCTACTCCACTGGGTCACTTCTAGTATATTTTATAGTATATTTATTTATTATTTATTATTTATTATTATCCAGAACAACAAAGTATGGTAGTGGGGTACCTTGGAAGGGACAGAGGCCATGGGGTCCTTCCGTCCACTCCACTGCGTCACCTCCAGAATGTTATCAAAGTCTTCTCTCAGTAGACTGTACTCGTCCATCATATGGATGACATCGGGGACACCGTCCGCGTCTCCTTGTACCAGGGGCTGGGTGAGGGAGGACCGCAGGTGGGGGAGATAGTCCATGGCCAGACCCTCCTTGTTGGCAGAAACCCTGTAATTATATTATTTTTTAATTGATTTTTGTAATCAATTGGATGGTATTTATTTAAGTAAATGTGTTATACCCTGATTAGAATCATTCATAATTACGCTCTTCTTGTGGGGAAAAAACCTGAAACTTCTTTTTTTTTTTTGTTTAAAATCAATCAATTTAATCAATTTGTTTGTAAATATTTTTTTAAATTTTAACGAGTATAAAATCCATAACAACTCGGAAGACAATCACTCATGGTTTTAAAGAAAATTCCTTAAATTTTAGTTGAAAGTTAGTATGCAAATCCATTTTAACATGTCATACCATTCTGGTTGGAGAATAGCATTTAAATTCAGAATATAATTTTTCAATGGCACCTTATGATTTTGCAAACTTTTATTCAGTGTTTCAATTTATACGAGATTTTTTCACACTAAACTATAAACCTACTTGAGACACATGTGAGTCCTCAACTCCTGTAGAATTCTGTCCACTTTATTTTTGCTGGAGTTTTTACCCAACCAGCTTGGAAATGAGACCATCTGAGGGAGAGAACCCCTCATTAAATCACCAGGGATAACACTAGAGAAGATGGACTGAAAGGAAGAAATAATGGGGAAAAATTATACATTTTTATTCAAAAGCACTTTTTTGCCTCCCCCTCCCCACCCCACACCCCGTCATCAACAGTACATTACACATAGAGAGTTCATGGAAAAAAAAATTACAACTTAAACAATGATTCTGCAAATTGTGATGTTCTGTTAGTTTTGCAATATGGTTTGTTTTCTTTTATTTTCTTTTGGATAAGCAGATTAAACATGTTAAGAGCTACCCATATCAGTTTGGCAGACCTAAACTAAAGCGAATCATTTTTCTAAATGCAGCTGATAATCATACTGACAATGTTCTTTCAAAGTATTCAGTACATAACAATATTATCGATTAAAGAATATAACATTATCAAAACTCCGAGATTCACACCACTAATTTTTGACTTTACCTGACTTGTGAGCAGGCTCCACCTCTGTTGACCTCTGATGACCTTTGACACCATGTCACCGTCACACATGCTGTCAACAGCCTGGCTAATCAGTCGTAGGTGCTTCTTCATATTACCTCTGAAATAATTCACACCAATAATTTATCTTTCAACATCTCACTTATAAGGAATATGACAAAATATCTTTACTGGCAACAGTTAACTAAAAAGTCAAAATTTCAGGTACTTTAATTTCTTAAAATTCACATCCCTGCACTATAGTAGCGATTTTTCAAAAATTAAACAGAAGTACATTGAGACCCAAAATGCTTGTGCCCACACAAATAAACATAAATATACAAAATTTTCAACTAATTCAGAGTTTTCCATTCACCAGGTGGCAGCAAATCACAAAATCCCACCACACTACCAGATGGCAGTTTACATCCAAGACAGACTTACTGTGCAGCCTGGGGAGTTGTTGACAGGTAGTTTTCATGGACAAACAGAGGGGTGAGGTCATAATCCTGGAAGAACAGGTCCTGTTTGTCTGCCAGAGTCATTCCAGCAGTCTCCGCTCCTCCCACCAACACCTTACGGCAGATGTCAAATGGACCCTGAACACAGAAAAATAAATAAATAACTACCTTAACGTCAATAAACATAAAAACTAAGGAAAGGAATAAATCAATGTATTAAATAAAAAAATAATAATAATTAAACTAAATAACTGTTTCTATTGTTTTGTCCTAATAAATAATTTACAAAATATCTTCAGGATATTAAAAACTTATCTATCAGTAAATTAGTCATAAATACTTTATTTTTTCTTTTACAGAAAATTTCCCTTACAATCTTCATGTCTTTCTTGGCTTGGTTGGCATCAGATTTTGCTTGCTCATATGTTAGGCTCTTGTCACTGGCACTCCACATGGCCAGATTGTGAATTATCTGAAATATGAGACACAATTTTATTGATGATCCTCTTTTCTTCCATTCTAATTTTTCAACACAACATTTTGTTTAGGAAAAGAAACAACCATCAATTTTCATCTACCACCACTAGCTTGGTACTGCCTGACACAAGTGGAAAGGAAATTACATGACAGGAAAAAATATGATTCTGATGTGCACTACTCAAAAAATTGAAATTGACCCACAAACAAATACAAAGGGTATGTCTGGCAAGGAACATGTTCCTGTTCATCACTAAAATTCCAACAGAGTTTGACCCAATTATTTTTAGACAGACTACCAGGGGACCCTGTGGTCAGAGGGGAGGATCTTCTCATGATGTATTTCATCATCACACATTCTACAGTTGTCTACTCGAAGCGTGATTTTAAAAGAAGACGCTGGAGAGAAGGACAACTGTCCTCACACACACCTGTCTGATATCGTGGTTTGCGCCAGCTATGATCTCATTCAATGCAGGAGGTGGCACTTTTATCTTCTCCTTGAAGCAAAGGGACAGCATGGGACCCTAGAATAAAGGAAGACATCTTAGGATTGCTCCAGATAACTTGCTAATGATGTGTGTGTGTGTGTGTGTGTGAGAGAGAGAGAGAGAGAGAGAGAGAGAGAGAGAGTCAGTCCTGTGTGTTTATGTGAGGCAGAGATGTGTGCGTGCGTGCATGTAAGAGTTAGTGATAGCAAGAGAAAACAGAAGCTAATATATGACAGAAATAAAGAAGACATCACACTTTATGTCCAAGAGAACATATTTTTCTGCTTGTATTCATCAATAGCACCGTCAACAAGATGAATGTCACAGACTCTTTAGGACTAGATACACTACAGACAAGCGATCAAATATGGATGCATCGTGTGCCTTTTCTACTTATAAATACTTGAAAATTTAAATGTTGTCAAAATAATGATAACTGACACAAATTAATGAAATACTTTACACAAAATAAATAAATATATAAAAGAAGTCGAGCCTTCCTGCCTTATCTCACCTTAATCTGTTCCAATCTTGGTTTATAAAATCTTAAGTCAAAGCAGTAATTGGCTAGGGTCCTAATCTTGGGGTGATTCCTGTCATTGCACATACATATTATAGGAATCTTGGTCTTCTTCAGCAGCTGAACCAGTTCCTGTTAAAATAAAAAAAAATCATATAAAAAGTTGCATTTCACTCTACTGCATATTGATAAGATAAGGAGACACCAAAATCTTAACAATGAGTTTTCACCCATGTTCTAATTTATTAAACAACTGTATAACAGTCACTACCATCATGTTCACCACAACAAACTGATCTAGATGGATTCTGTATGGTAAAAATGTCCCCCCAAAAAACAGAAGTCTGTTGAATACTATACATGTTAATTTCACATGGCAAAATTTCACTCCAGACCTAAAATCACATTTTTACAAGAAATGTTACGCTATGAAATAATAATGAAATGACAGAGGTTCTCCCACCTGTACTCCTCCCCTGTCCTCATTGCCGGCCATCCCGTCTACCTCGTCCATAATCAGGCAGTGCTTCTGACCACTGGAACTGCTCTGACCACTGCCTGTAGGACGGAGAACAAAGATATTTAATCACAATAATACTACGATACATAACTGGCAACATACAGTGCATAACCAAAATATCATCATACCACAGAATTTCCCTTCAGACCGAAAATCACATTTTTACAACAAATGTGACGATATGAAATGATAATGAAATGGCCGAGTGCTACTGACCACTGCCTGTAGCATGTATGACAAAGAAATTCAATCACAATACTATGGCCACATTCATAACAGCAGACCAACTAGTCCGTGGATCAAATATGGCTAACCTAATTGAATGTTTGTTGCGTAATCCGTGTGGAGAATCGATTCATTGTCAATTAGGGGATAAGACTGCAAGCTTTGAAGTGGGTCTCTATATTTGAATGCAGCATATGATACATAAAAGACAACATACAGTGCATAGCCAAAATGTTATCATTTGATATGTATATAAATGACATTTGAACGGATTTTTGTTTTAACACCTGACCTAAATATAAACATAAAATTGAAATATAGGACATAAAAAAACTAAAATCTATAATATTATAAAATAAAACACTTATCCAAGGATAAACCAGCATGTCATTTAAAGTGAATACAGTTTTTTTTTTCAAACTTACCAAAGAAATCAACCAAAGTGTGGTTACTAAGTGCCTCGGCCACCTCCTGCTCCAGACTCTTCTTGTTCCTGGTGTCAGACGCATTCAGTTCTATGTATGAGAAACCTGCCTCCTGGAAGAAAAGAGCATCAACATGTGGAAATTTTTCCTGGTCATAAACAAAATCGACCATCTTCATCAAAGAAATTCCAAGCCTCAAATGTTTTTAGGCATATTCTAATCAAATACCAATTTTACCACATAACATATGAGACACAGTATTTTTCATTGTCAAATATTTCATTGCTTTAACTTTGACACATAAAATGTGACAAACATCATAACAGATATTTGGATAAAAGAAATCCAATTTAGTGTAAAGCCAGTAATTGAAATACACAGTTAAAATAATCAAGCTGAAGAGGGATGGGGGGGGGGTTGATAAACTTAAATTTGGTAACAGAGGATTATTTGTCAGAGAGCCTGTTGCCTCTTAAGCTGATAATTTACAAAGAGGTTCTAGAAATAGACATTACTTAAATTATAACAAAGACACTTTTGCTGGTTCTGTTAACATATTGAAATGTTAATTTACTTATGCGTGTTTGTGGGTGGAAAGGCAGGTCAGGGGTGGGGTG